AAAGAAGGACCACGCCACATGAAAGCCAATTGGAGATCCAGTGGCATCTGAAGGTGAATTTTCTTCATGGCTTTTTTTTTTTTTATTGTTGCTTACACTGTATTGTGTAGTACAGTTTTATAGGCGCTGGGGATTCCCCCCACCCCTCCCCATACCCCTCCCCCCATGGTGGATTCCTCCACCTTGCTGCATAACCATAGTTCAAGTTCAGTTGAGATTCATTGCTTGCAAACACATGCCTAGCATAAAGTTCAGCGTCTTATTGTCCAGATAAGTTCAGTGGCCTCCTGGGGAGACCTTCTATGGTCTGAAGATAGGTCTAACAGAGTAAAGATCCGGTCGGTTAAAAGCCCCAACAAGGCCTCAGTATCAATATACAACATTATGGAATTAATTGACATAGTATTGGGTAAACAATATGTTAAAAATAATGCAAGTTCCATTCTTCGAAACATCTGGGTTGAGACAGCATCAATGACACGTTCAAAAAATAACAAACAACCAAACAATAAATTACAGGTTAAATCAAGGCGAACATGTGGTATCTAATCTTTTGGGATTCACTCATTTCCCTTAGCATTATAGTTTCCAGTTGTGCCCATTTAGCCACAAAGAACTGCATTTTGTTTTTTTTAACAGCTGAGTAGTATTCCATGGAGTAGATGAACCAAAGCTTTCTTATCCAATCTTCTATTGATGGGCATTTCGGTTGCTTCCATGTTTTTGCAATTACTGATTGTGCTGCAATGAACATGGGGATGCATGTTGGTTTGTCGTAAAACAGGTGTTTTGGATATATTCCTAGGAGTGCTATTGCTGGGTCATATGGTATGCAGATTCCGAGTTGTTTGAGTGTTCTCCAGACTGATTTCCATAAAGGCTGTACCAATTTGCAGCTCCACCAGCAGTGGAGTAGGGTTCCCTTTTCCCCGCATCCTCGCCAGCAAGCGTCGTTGGTGTTCTTGTTTATGTGGGCCAATCTTACTGGTGTTAGGTGGTACCTCATCGATGTTTTAATTTGGATTTCCCTTATTGCTAGGGAGCTGGAACATTTTTTCATATGTTTGTTTGCCATTTGGACTTGCTCCTTTGTGAAATGTTTGCCCATTTCCCTTGCCCATTTCTTGAGTGGCTTGTTTGTTTTGGTTTTTTGGTTGTTTTGAAGTTCTTTGTATATCCTGGAAATTAGCCCCCTATCGCCTATATCGTGTGCAAAGATCTTCTCCCACTCTGTGGGTTGCTTTTTTACTTTGTTGATTGTTTCCCTTGCTGTACAGAAGCTTCTTAGTTTGATGAGGTCCCATTTGTTTATTCTGTTCTCAACTGCTATTGCTTTTGGTGTCCTTCTTAGAAAGTCGGAACCTACTCCTAGGTCTTGCAGGGTATTTCCTACATTTTCTTGCAAGAGTTTGAAGGTTTCTGGATGTAGGTTTAGGTCTTTTATCCATGTAGATTGGATCTTAGTGTATGGTGATAGATGTGGGTCTATCCTTTTGTTTCTACAGGCTATCAGCCAGTTGTCCCAACAACATTTACTAAAGAGGCCTTCCCACTTGCTTGAGCTATCATTGGTCTTTTTGTCAAAGATTAATTGGCTGTATTTGTGTGGGTTCCCTTTTGGTGCTTCTATTCTATTCCATTGATCTTCTTTTCTGTCTTTGTGCCAGTACCAGGCTGTTTTGATAACCACTGCTCTATAGTATGTCCAGAGGTCCGGGATTGTGATTCCCCCTGCTAATCTCTTATTTTTCAGGATGGTTCTAGCTATTCGTGGTTTTTTGTGTTTCCAGATGAACTTTTGAATCATTGTATCCAGTTCCGTGAAGAATGTTTTGGGCAATTTGACTGGAATTGCGTTGAAAATGTATATTGCTTGTGGTAGTATAGACATTTTAATGATATTGATTTTGCCTATCCAGGAGCACGGGATGTTATTCCATCTTTTGAGGTCTTGTTCAATTTCCTTTTTAAATAGTTTGTAGTTTTCTTCGAATAGGTCTCCTACGCTTTTGGTTAGATTTATTCCCAAATACTTCATACTTCTCTCTGCTATTTTGAATGGTATCCTGTTGGTTAGATCTTCTTCCATCTTGGTGTTATTTGCGTACACTATGGCTGTTGATTTTTGTTCATTAATTTTGTACCCCGCCACTCTGCCAAACTCTCGTATAAGTTCTAGCAGTTTCTGTATTGATTCTCCTGGTTTTTCTATGTATAGGATTATGTCATCTGCATATAGTGAAAGCTTGACTTCTTCGTTTCCTATACGTATGCCTTTGATTTCTTTTTCTTGTCTTATGGCCTCTGCAAGTACCTCTAGGACTATGTTGAATAGCAGTGGTGATAGCGGGCACCCTTGTCTTGTTCCAGATCTCAGTGGGAAGGGTTCTAGCTTTTCTCCATTCAGTATGATACTGGCGTTGGGTTTTTCATAAATTGCTTTAATTATGTTGTGGATTTTCCCATCTATGCCTACTTTGGCTAGAGTTTTTAGCATGAAGAGGTGTTGGATTTTGTCGAAAGCTTTTTCTGCATCTATTGAAACTATTATGTGGTTCTTGTTTTGCAGTTTTTGGATATGGTTTATAACATTTATGGATTTCCGAATGTTGAACCATCCCTGCATTCCAGGGATGAATCCTACTTGATCCGGATGAATGATCTGTCTGATGATTTTTTGAATTCTATTGGCTAGGATTTTGTTGAGAATTTTAGCAGGCTTTGGGAAGATCAACAGCACAACATACATTTACGATAAAGAAATACTCAGATGAAATGACGAATGACAAAATGACATCACACATATTTTCATTCCACTCATGATCCATACATTCCCAAATATAGCTTCAATTTTGGCTGGTGTCTATCCGTGGAGGACACATTTCCAAATTCCCCAGACGTAAGATCCTCTCTCTGTCCACACACAATCATTTTCCTCTTACTTCTGTCAGTGGTTTCTGGCAGTGATGTAACACGCATCACATGAAGGACTTCCCCACATTTTCCCAAGCCCGGCTGTAGCAGAATCTGTCCCCAGGTGCACTTCAGTCCCCAGCTGCTCTGACACAGCTCTGTAAGGGCCCCGGGTGTGAACAGCGTGGCCTATGTGTACTCCAGGATGCTGGGAGTGCTCCAGAACACCTGCTTTTCTACCTGCCTGATGTGGCTCCGCTTCCTCACTGTTAGTCTGATGCTGAATGTTTGTGAGTAGGATTTGATGAGCAAGTAGCAAACTGAGCACTTTCGCTGTTTAAATGCTATTTTTGACATGCAGATTTGCAGAAGATAAAAGAGGGCTAAGTCCAGGTCTTTTGAAATTACTCCTCTTACATTCCTTACTTCAATGTCCCAAAGCTCTGTGTCAGCTAGTATTAGCTATGAGAGAGTACTACGTATTTCAGGATTATCTCTGGTTTGCTATCACTGGGGACATATCACCAATTTACTTTTTTCTTATAGGCAATATTTTGTATGTCTTCTTCTCTTTCTCCAACAGTCATGGAGCTGATTGATTCGACCAAACCAAATTGTAACTTATAATTATAATTATAACTGGATCCACTTTTATCTGTGATTCTTGCACCGTCCAGAAGAGGAAAGCATTACAATAGAGGCAAAACACTTCCCTCCTCGCAGGCCCGCGGGTAGCTGGCAATATAACAGTGCACAACTTCATTGGAAAAGAAAACCACAAGATAGTTTATAATTGGAGACACATACCATATGCTTCTGTCCCTTCCTGTGTCACTTACTAAAATTGTTTACTATGCTACAATTTTGTGGGTATGGGGGTTCTACTTCTCCCTCTTTTCCCTCCTTCTCTATTCCCCCTTCCACCATTTTCCCCCTATTATCACAGTAGTTTAACTTTCTGCATGGTAGGTACTGGCAAAGGTAGAACATCCAGAACCATACTCTAAAGGTGCATTTAGATGTTTCGTTGGGATTCCTACTCTGATTCTGGAGTGGAGACACGTATTGCAATGTATCATTATTTCCTGGTATGCTAGTCTTCATGATACAGTTCATCTGTGAGAATATAGGTACATATTGATTTTCTATATTTATTTCGTACTTTGCAAAAAAGGTGTCATACATCAGAGAAAACATACAATATTTGTCCTCTAGGGACTGGATTACTTCGCTATTTTTAAAGGACAAGTGGTATAATCTATCTCTGCAAAGGTTATCTGAACAGACTAAATTCACAGGCCAAGAAGCAGGAAGCGGAAGACTACAGTGTTTTTCTTGTTTTTGCACTGACCTGCAGGGGCCAGGGACTTTGTTCAATGTCTGAATAACAAATGGGAATATGGGTGAATGATGAGTACTGGGAACAATGCAGTTGCAGAGTTCATTGCCAGCAAGGCTCTCCTCTGCAAATCTGTCTGCTTTGAAAAGGTAGTGAGCTCACTGGCCATGGAAGTCTGCAACACAAAGCTAACCCACATGTCAGCCACTGGAGGAACTTTAATATTGCTTCAAACTCACCAGTATAGTTCTGTGAAAGGCAGGTGCAGGGTCAGCTCAAGAGAGGATTCTTAGCAACACAGCAGAACCCTGTGGGCTGTGAACTCCCTGATGCAGCAGAGCCCTGTGGGCTGGCAACAGCCCTGCACTCTGCCAAGCTCATTCTGACAGCCCCTAAAATCAAGGCATCTGCTCGCCTGCCTGTGTGCACCTTTAGGAGGCTTGTGAGCACTACGGTTCACAGCTGACCTGGGAGGAAGCCTTATGCAACAAGCTGTAGGACCGGTTTGTGGGATCTGTAATCTCAGAGTTTACCTGAGATAAAAGAGGGTAAACTGGATGAACATGACTTTGATTCTCAGCAAATCCCTCTGAGATCTTGGGAAGGAAGAGTGTTTTTCTGACATCCCATGAGTGGTCCATGGAGCTGTAGGGGTGAGGATGCAGAGGCAAGGATGAGGTGGAGCCCTCCAAGAAAAGATCTGCAAAGCCTCTCAAAGACACCCCGAGAACTCCCGGGTCCTTCCAGAATGGGGCTCCAGGTTCTGGTCTTGACTTCTCTGGCTGCTTCTATGGCATGGGGTGAGTTTGAAATACAGACATCAGGGGCACGTATGGAAAATTTTCCCTCAGGACTTGGGGCTACCGAGCCAGCAAGCCTGGCCACTCTGCAGAGAGCCATGGAGCATAGACACCCCATGACTGAAGAGCAGGCTGGGCAGTGAGCTGGCCTCCTCTAGCACGCACCAGGAAGGAGAGAGCTCAGGTTGTTTCCTTCTCCACTGCCAGTCCGCTTCACAGCTGCACTACAGTGACTCAGGAGGCAGCATGATTCAACACTTCCTAGCTGTGCACCCTCAGACGAGGTACTTCTGGGGCCTCCTGACCCTGCCTCTCGCATGGGCCACCCACAGCCTTGAAAGGCTGTGAGGAAGGAAGGGGGTGCTGATTCGCAACTGGGTAGAATGGGGCCTGGTAGAGAGAAGATGCAGAGAAGGCGTGGAGAAGGGTTCAAAATGATGTAACACGTAATGCCTGCAGAGAAAACTGGAGAAACGGTCAGGCCAGCAGAGTCGCTGGAAGATAGTGTGTCCTTGCAGAGTAGGGTGGCAGAAGGTCAGAGGGAGGAGCAAGGCCCAGGCAGTTCAGCCCCAGTCATTCTGGAGATGGGCAGGAGCCTCCATCATGAATTTCCATGTAGAGGAAAAGCAGGGCATGCAACCAGGCTGATTGACCAAGGGGAGTTGTTTCTGGAGACTCTGGGGCCCAGAGTTTGCCCTCGGGTGTCTTGTACCTGGCTCCGGGTGATTAGGGCAGGGAATGGAGTCTCTGGGCATGAACACTTGGTGAGGCAGGAGTGCTGGACTGGTTGGATGCTGGAGGACACACTTCCCCAAGGGGCAACAAGGTTTCAGCCTCCTAAAAAGGAAATGGATTCATGGTTTAGACAGGAAGTGTAGCATGGCTCCTCATCACACACTCATTTATTTTTTAAAGATGTATTTTATACTTTCCCAGGTCATAAGCAGGGAGCTGGATGGGAAGTACAGCAGCCAGAATTTGAACTGGCTGCTGGTGCTGCAGATGGAGGCTCAGCTTATGATGCCATGGTCCCGGCCTCACCTGTGTCCTTTTACAGCCAGAGAAGCTAAGACTGAAAGAGGAAAATGAACCTGCCAAGGTCCCCATGCACATCATGCCCTGCTTTATCTCTGGCACCTGAATGCAGATCTGGGGCTCTGATCCCACTAGATCTTTATCTTTTCTTAGGTGGTGGGACTCTGGGAGAGTCTCTGAAGATACAGCAGGAAAGGACCCAGATTTGGAGAGGAACTTTCCTTTGCTTCTTTGCTTCTAGCCAGAACCAATTCTTCTTGGTCCACAGACAATGCGTTCTTGATCCTGTCTTCATAAAGTCTGTCTCCTTTTCCTCAGTTTCCTCATCTGTAAAATGGGCTTGCTATTGCTTAGCTGGCATGGCTTTGGGAGGCACGATGTAATGAATAAGAATGCACTTCAAGCACATGGTGCCTATTCAGCAGGTGCATGTCCTGTGTGACATCCAGGCTAAGCTCTGCCTCCTACACCATCTGTCCACTTTTAACCCTAAAGAGGCTGGCTTCTGCCCACTTCATCTCTGTCAAAAGTGAACACTTGGCTTACACAGGCCGGGCCCAGGAGTTTCAGGTTCCTTCACCTCTTTGATGCACTCAGCCCTCTGGCTCACCACCACTGTTCTGTCTGGGCCTCCACGATGCAGTGCCACCCTCCTCCCATCCACCTTGGGGGTTGACTAGCCTCACTACCACTGTCCTCAAGTCTCTTTCCCTGCTCTCACACTGGCGTCCGCCATGAGGTCAAACACACACAGGGTGTGCAGCCTCACCTCCAAGTGGCTGATTCTCCAGTGTCCCCTTCCAGTCTTGAAAAGCCCTCCTCCCCTGGCATCATCCTGTCTGGACAACTTGCTGACTCCCCACCAAGCATATCCACATGGAGCCCAGTACTCCCAGCCAGTTCTCTTGTATTCTCTTTCCTGCCCACGGATTTGAAAATCTCTTGTGCACATAAGTGTCTCATAGAGCAACGTTATTTTCAGTGCTGCAACAGACATCTCAATTTACAGGTGAGATTGAAACTGATAAACTCACAGTCATGAAGCCCAAAGTTCAAGAACCAGAACATGGTAAGTTAGTAACTGACTCATGCGCTGCCCAGGAAGTTCATCTTGGTGTCATGTTACCACAAGAACAATGAAAAATAATTTATGTATCAATGTTTATGGGGTTGGTTCTTTTTTTTTAAAGATTTATTTTTATTATTATTTTTTTAATTGGAAAGGCAGATATACAGAGAGGATAGACAGAGAGGAAGATCTTCCATCCGATGATTCACTCCCCAAGTGAGCGCAATGGCCGATACTATGCCGATCCGAAGCCAGGAGCCTCTTTCGGGTCTCCCACGCGGGTGCAGGGTCCCAAAGCTTTGGGCCGTCCTCGACTGCTTTCCCGGGCCACAGGCAGGGAGCTGGAAGGGAAGCGGGGCTGCCTGGATAGAACCGGCGCCCATATGGGATCCCGGGCGTGCAAGGCGAGGACCTTAACCACTGCGCCACTGCGCCAGGCCCTGGGGTTGGTTCTTAATAACCAGTGGGGCAGATACTGTTGATAACCTGATTTTAAGTCATTTCCCACCTCCTTGGATAGTCTTTTATAAAACAAAATCCAGATCATTCCTTTGCGTTCTGGCCACATGCTTTTGGGTGTTGGCATATGGTCTGTATTCAACAAGAGGGAAAACAAGAGGCTGGAACTAATTTCCTGTCATGGATGCTGAAACAAGCTGAGGTTGTTGAGATCAGAACACAGAGGTCTTGAGGGGCTGGCTTGGTCTGTGGAGAATAGTCACCTGTCTATGGAAAGAGAGATCAGGTGGATTCCCTACGGTCTCATATGCAGTGCAGGCAGGACTGAGGTGGGAGACACTGGGGAGATGAATTCAATGCAGAGGAACTGTCTGAGTGGTGGACTGTCTTGTGGATGATCCTGCTCAGACACCAAAAGAACTTCTTCTAGGAACCCTCATACTTATTCCAGAAGAGCAGCTGCTATTTGTCCATTACAGAAAGCCCAAGCCCCAAGTCTGGCCTTCCTGGACCTCCCTGAGATGCACTTGATTCAGGATTCCTTCCTGTTCCCCAGGGACTCTGTCTGGTGCATTCAGGCCACTCGCTGTTCCCAGAGCAGGCCCTGTGCTGTCTCCAAGCTTCCACACTCTCTTCTCTATGGCGTATGTCTCTCCATTACTCAGTGTGCTCTCCACCACACACACACACACACACACACACACACACACACACACACACACACACACACACAGAAATACCAGATCCTCCAGGGGACCCAGTCCTGAGGCCTCCCTTCCTTTTCTTACACCTTACTGGGACAGGAGAACTTTCTTCCCAGCAGCAGGGTGAGGTAATCTGTAGCTTATCCTCCCTTCAAAATTTGACATTCATGTTCAACTTCTCTCCATTTATGCAATTCAGAACTAGGATCCTAAAGGGTCAATATTTCCAGAAGCTTCTAACAGTGGGACCAAATGTCGCTGGCCAACAGTTCTTTCTGGCATGTAGTTGAGGCTACATGCTCAATTCTAGTTGGCTCCTTACACACTCAATTCCAGTTGGCTCCTTCAAGCAGCCCTCCTTTCTCTATTATTCAAAGATAAACTGAGTCTGGAAGATTTGGCTGACTTAGCCAAATCACCTGTTTACATGGTAGAAAAACCCACATGGGATGCAGGGCAATCCTTTCTCCTCTGATATATTTTCTCTTCATTTCCACGTCCCATAGGGCAGCTGTCTGAACCACCTGTGGTGAACACCAGGCAGGGCAAAGTCCTGGGGAAGTTTGTCAGCTTAGAAGGAGTTGCACAGCCCGTGGCCGTCTTCCTCGGAATCCCCTTTGCCAAGCCCCCGCTGGGATCCCTGAGGTTTGCACCACCAGAGCCTGCAGAGCCATGGAGCTACGTGAAGAACACCACCTCCTACCCACCCATGTAAGCCATGCATAGGACTGGCGCTGGCATCGTTCAGTGGCAGAAGTGATCTCAGGGTAATGCACATGCACACCAAGACAATACTCTGATTGTCTGTACTAGAGTACCCAAGAACATTCCAGAATTCTCCTAGCAGTCTATAGTCCTTGGTGTAACACAAGTAGGCAATGGAATTAAGTCCCTTGGGAAATAAGGCCATTTCTGGGCTCGTACGTAGAAACACAATCAGTAACTCTGCTCACTGAGTGTGAACTGCAGTTTATAGTTATCCTCCTGGGTCTTGGGTTCCACCAGGCTTTTAAGACAAAAGGTTGGCATGTCATGGATGTAAGACTCTTATAGAAATCCCTCCCCTCATAAAGATCTTCCCAACTGGAGCTGAGTGTAGGAAAGAACCTTATTCAAGTTGCCCAGAAAATTGGATGGCAGAGGTAGGCCTGGAATGTAACTCTCCTGAGGTTGTCACACGAGGATGCCACTGAACCTGTTTTTTGCAGGCTGTAAGTGCCTGCCACTTGGTGTCCTCTCTTGGTTTGTGGAAGTCTAGTATGAAGTATAGACTAGAATTCATATTAATGGTGGGAATCCTGGTAATACTGCAGTCCACAGTTAGAAGCTGAAAAGAGAGAGGGTTCTGGGAGTGTTATCTCCCAGAAGTGGTCAGTGTAGGGGCCTCTTTCTCTTGTTTGTCCAGGGCTTCCATAATGTCCTGGGAAGGAGTGATGCTAAAGCCTTCTAATGTTGCAGGGTCTTTGGAGACTCCTGTGAGTTACAAAGACCCTACCTGAATCCCCCAAAGAACCTCCCACTTATGCCCTTATCTTGAATCTGCACACAGAAACATCATTTACAATCTTAAATCTCTCAAGCCAGGTCTAGCCTAAACCCAGGTACACCTTTCCTGGATCTGATTGAATCTCAGATCTTCCTTCCTTCACAGGTGCTCCCAGATCACAGGGGCAGGGCCAGTGCTCTCAGAAGTGTTTGCTAACAGACTGGAGAACGTTTCTCTCGTGTACTCAGAAGACTGCCTTTACCTGAATATTTACACTCCTACAGACTTGACGGAGAAAACCAGACTGCCAGTAAGCATGGGACTATCTGGCTAAGTGTGTGATGTTCAAATTTTATGCTTCTTTCTGCTGAGAACTAGAAAGGGAACAAGGACATTTGAAGTTGGGGGGAGGTGGCGGTCACAGGCCAAAGTTCTTTCAAGTAATTCAGGGTTCCCTTTGAAAAGCAAGTTTTTCATAGTTCAGTTTCCTTCAGCGGCACTGTGTGATCTGAGCCTGTTTGTGACACATCTGTCATGCACGACTTAACTTCTCTAAGTCTCCCATGCTAAAGGAAGGACCAAAAAAAGCTTACTTTACTTCCCACATTAAAATTCTGATATCCAGAGCAACTCAGACCCAGTTTCCAATAAAATGGAAGCTGAAAGGAATATCCTTTATTTACAAGGAGAGAAACTAAGGCCCAGGCAGAAAAAAGGGAGTTCACACAGTAGGGCTGTCAGGATGAGATATCTTATCATGATCAAATCAGAAATATCTGACATGGACTAGAGAAGGCGGCATGTGTGTGGCCTCACTGTCCCCCCAAGTTGCACCTGTGACAACTTCCTCTGTCCAGTGACACAAGTGTAGGGGTAGATTAGAAGGACTTTGCTTTTGAGATTGCAATGGGCTCACTTTGCCCTGTAACTGTCTTTGGCACAAGCTGGTGAGCCAGTGAGTCAGCATTGCCCAAATCAACAAAGGAACAGAGATAGGGCAGGCTGCCAGGTGCAGCAAGCAGAGAATACGAGTTCAGGTCTGCTGGAGGGGGGTGGGGTGTAAACACCCAGCCAGGTTCCCAGGAGCACGCCCTGATTGCTGTCCAGAGTGAGAAATGAGGTTTTGAACTTGGCACAGAAAGTTGTCCCTGTGCATGCTTTGTAAGGCACAGCAAGGTGGGAACAAATGTCCACACATTCCTTCAATCATTTATTTTTTTATTGTGTAGCCAGCTTTTATTCTACATTCATGGATGGCTTTGCTGGTTAGGGGAGAAGGAAAAACACAGCAACCTTATCTGTGTTTTAAGGACCTTGCCCCCTTGGCTATACCAACAAACAGCTCATTGTTGCTGACCAGCCCTGGCACAGCCTTCACTCAGGGTGACTGGGACTCAGTCCTTCTGGGGAGGCAGGCAGGGGTCAGGGCTGTCAGAAAAGGGGGCTCTGGGAACCTGGAGACAAAAGAACCTCTAGCTAAGGGCACTGGCTCCAGAACTGTGGGGTCTGGATTTAACTCTGGGCTCTGCCTCGGACTGACCAGAAGCTGAACCATTTCTTAGCGTCTGTAACAAAGCTGTTCCTTCCTCAGCATGGGGATCATTGCCTAGGAGTGTTTGAGGATGACCATCAGGTTTAGCTGAATCGAGGCTGAGGACATGAAGCGGGGACTGATGATACAACAGTTAGAGTTGAAGGGAGAAGCACATTCCTACTCTTACAGTCAACTAACTTGCTGTGGGGATGGGCAGTGGGCATGGGCTCTGGGCAGGTGGAAATCTCCATGTGTGGAACTGGAGCCACACCACCTGACTCAATCATTCTTGAGCCACCTGTTAGCTGTGAGAGCTTGGGCAGCTCTCTATCTGTGACATGGAACAATAGCAGCACCTATCTCATGGAAGGTTTGTTTTGTCATGATGTTTGCAACAATTTATGTGACAGAAGTCATGTTGTATATTTTTTCACTAGCAATATTATTGCAATGTTATTATTACGACAATGATATTATTCTAGCCATTCTTCTACCCTTCCATGTGAGCTGGTTAATGTAGAAATCATGAATTATATACAATGTTCATTCTCATGATTAAATCTTGCAGTCTCTGGCACACAGTAGTGTCTCAGGTGATGGGAGTTAAACAACTGAGCAATTCCTGTGCAGGTAGATTTAGGATAGGGCATTGGAAGGTGGATGGGACTTAGGAGATACAGGGGAGGCAGAAGAGAGACACAAGAGGAAAAGAAACTCTCAGATATCTCTGTGCTCCTTGAGACAACCTTTGATGCATAGAGAAATTTAATTCACTCTGAAAAGAGTTCAATGATATGACCCAGTGTGTGTTAAACTGGATGAATGGTCCAGACACGTGGATCACAGAAGTGTTGAGGAGAACTTGACAATTTGAACTTTTCTATTCCCATAATTACACTGACAACCTGGAAAGCCTTGGAAGGAGGTGGCCATTAGTGATGAAGGGGAAGCCAGAGGTTGCCAAGGGATGCTGGGTGGCTTTATGGCCTTGGCCCCAACAGGGAGAGCTAGGGAGAAGAGAGAGACTGATCTTTGAAACGTTGTTGAACACTGGTGGACATGAGGTAACAACCAGCTGAGTTAAGGCCCATAGCTTGGTAGTCAAACTGACAACTTCTGAGATCCTTCTCAGCTCTGTTTCTTATAACCTGTATGGCTTCTTCCTGCTATCCAGGTCATGGTGTGGATCCATGGAGGTGGGTTACTGTCAGGTGGTGCATCAATCTATGATGGTGTCGCCCTCTCTTCCCATGAGAATGTGGTGGTGGTGATCATTCAGTATCGCTTGGGCATCTGGGGATTCCTCAGGTAAGGTGCTGGAGTCTCCTCCTGTGCAGTGGTCCCACAATGAAGATGCCAGGACCTATTTCTCGTCTTGTCAACCTTCAACCAGACCTTTGTTAAGTGTCTTTTTAAAAAGATTTAATTATTTGCATTGGAAAGGCATATTTACAGAGAGAAGTAAAGATAAAAAGGAATATCTTTCATCTGCTGGTTCACTCCCCAAGTGGCTCCCATGGCTGAAGCTGAGCCAGTCTGAAACCAGAAGCCAGGAGATTCTTCCAGGTCTTCCATGTGGGTGCAGGGTCCTACGGCTTGGACCATCTTCCACTGCCTTCCCAGGCCACAGTCAGGGACCTGAATGAGAAAAGGAGTAGCTGGGACATGAATCAGTGTCCACACAGAATGCCAGCACTTAGAGAGACTAGCCATTGAGCCATTGTGCCAGTCCACTGTTAAGTGTCTCAATGAGGCGTCTAAATCCCTTCATAGTTGAGCTCCATGTATATTCTCATTCTGCAGAGACACAAGTTTAGTTGCTTATGAGTTACAAAAGTATTTTTGCTGCTGCTGGAATGCCTTCTTTGCTGTATTCCTAATTACCCTGCAAGACTTACTGCTTCCTATAAAACAATCATCTTTTTACCTATATGACTCCAGTACGTTGCATTCCTCTGATGACAGCCAGTAAGCCATACCGTAGTTAAGCACTCACACACTTCCCAAGGCAAAGAAAGGAGAGGGAGACTTGCAGAGGGCATGCAGTGAGTTCTTGTGTAGGCAGAATGGGTGGCTACAGATAGAACGTTGTCAGAGTATCTGACCCAAGATATTGTTCCCTGGGGGAGCTTTGATGGTGATTCATTCCATTTCTTCTGGGGTCTGTACATGCAGGAGTTATGGCTAGCACCATCTCTTCCAGGCCTTTATGAGAATCATAATCAGGACTGCAGAGCAGTTACTCTGAACATTTTCTGAATGTGTCTGACCCAGAATCACTGACCCTGTGATGGTTGATGGGTGGGCAGGTACATGAGTTCCATGCACCAAGGGAAAGAATTCAATTCTGCTAAGCAGGAAGAAGGGCTCAGGTCTGCCAGTCCTAGGCTGTTCTTTCTTAGTCCCTTTGCTGGTCCTGCCTCTTCCTCCATTCTCTTCTTCAGGTCACTGTATGCCCCTACTCCCCCTTGGTGAATCACCAGGTGATCTCACTGTTGTTTTGAAAACTCCCTTCTGAAATTTTGATCTTCAGTAAAATCCTAGAGCATGGAGTCAGTCTTTGTGATGGTGAAACAGGGTCACATGTACTTCCAACCCCAATCAAATATTCAATTCCATCAGAGTCAAGTTCCCCAAATGTCCTTGTCTTCTGAGCCCTCACCAGAACTGCCTCTCTTCCTCCCCTTACAGCATTCTAAACTTCCTGTAGTCTTCCTGTCATCCCCAACTCTTCCAAATTCTGCCCTCACTTGAAAATGCTTTCCTATATTTTCACAAGTAGTTGCCACAGTGATTCCACTCCTTGGTACCAATTTTCTATGATAACCTTTTGTCTGTAGCTCTAAGAAGATACCCAAGATGAGGTACTTTGTGTATAACAGCTTCTTTAACTCATAGTTTTGGAGTCTGCCATTTCAGGGAACATAGAATTGGCTTTGGTGAGGGCTCCCTTGGCTAAACTACATCATGGAAGACAGTATCATGGCAGGATCACAGATAAGATACAAAGCTAGAGAGTGGATAAGGGACTACTTTCTCTTTCATAAAAAACCCTGTGATGGCAACAAGCAAGGGTCCTGAAGGAACCACACTGATTACTTCCAAGGACAAAATATTAACAACCCATTCACTTGGTTCCACTTACTAAAGGTTTACCATTTTCCCATAATTGCCATTTTGAAGACCAAGTCTCTAGTACAATGATCATTGGAAGAAATAAGCATATCCAAGTCATGGCAAACCCCTATCCAACATGTGATCTAGTATCTGGCCATGGCAACTTTTATCTCCATTCCCACCCTCTTCACTTGCAGCACAGGAGATGAACACAGCCGAGGGAACTGGGGTCACTGGGACCAGGTGGCTGCACTGCGCTGGGTCCAGGACAACATTGTCAACTTTGGAGGGGACCCAGGCTCTGTGACCATCTTTGGAGAGTCAGCAGGAGCTGAAAGTGTCTCTGTTCTTGTAAGTGTCCTTGGCATCAGGTTTCATGCAGCTACTTATGTACCCTCTTAAAGACCAGAAAATCTATTCATAGCTACCTTTGCCTTCAAGATTTGCACTCACACCAGACTCTGCTCACTGCACAGCATCAAAAGCTGAAGTGCTAAGGATCAAATCGTCCTTTGAAAGGAGGCTCAGGACTCACTTTAAAGTAACCAGGGCTGCAAGAAGCTCCATTTGAGGGCCTCCTTGGTGATAGTCCTCCCCTTCCAAATTGGCTCAGGTCACTCTCTCAATCCTAATCTTTTCAATGCTAAGAATCATCTCACTTCTTTTAGGCAGAAGAGTTGGCATAAAATTTGAGTAAGAAGAGTCAAGAGCTTTTGGTGGGCAGCTTATTGTTTGGCTGGAAGCAGATCTACATGTCAAGGATTGCAGCTTCTAAAAGCAGGCAGGGAGCTTCCTCCAAAGTGATCAGGTGGCTTGTCCACACCCAAAAGAGAACACAGCCAGCTCTGGGACTGGATGATGAGGTGTCCAGGAAGGGGGAAAAGAGGTGAAAGGGATAGTTAAAGGAAAGAGGGAAATAAAGACAGGCGATATGGGATAAAACAGACTGGGGTGTGAGGTTTCTTGCTGGTGTGGTAATGAAGCTGGAGAGACACTGGGGGAAGTTAGAGAAGTGCTGGGAACTACAGGACTGCTAGTCTAACTGCTTCTAATTCCCTCAGGAAGAGGACTAGTTCTACTACTGTGATTTTTCGAATGTGTATTGGTTTCATAGCTGCATACTCGGAGGGAAATTGTTTATACAATAGAGGGAAATAAACAGAATGAGTAAGCCCTAAAAAGAAAAAAAGCACCCACCATCCTACTACCCAAAGACAGACTGTACGTATTTGACATATATTTTCCTAGTCTTTATTTCATTACTGTTATGTATCTAATCATCAACCATCTATTATATATATATATAATCTACCTATTTAATCACCTACCACCTGTTACCTTTATATCTATCCTATATTTATCATCTATCATGTGGGTTCTCTCTACCAATGTTTGCTTGTTAGCATTTATCTGTTTACCTCTCCATCTTCCATCTATCTTCTCATACAAAAATCTTTCCTCAATACCACAATATAATATAAATATGTCCTCCAACATAATAGCTTATGGATAATTTTATGAGTTAAGAAAGCAGGCTAGGCTTGGTGAGGTGATTTAGATCCCTGTATCTCCAGGGAATGGCCTAGCACAGAGCTGTAGATGAAGGAAGACTTGAAGTGCAAGCACAGCCCCCAAATACTCCATGAGTCGAGTATGAACTCTCCCCTTTCCAGGTTCTAACTTCGTTGGCCAAGAACCTCTTCCACAGGGCCATTTCTGAGAGTGGCGTGGTCCTCACTCCCTGTCTATTCAGGAAGGACACCAGACTGGCTGCTAAGGTAGGTCTCTCCTCAGAGAGCACCTGTCTGCTACGCTCTGTTCTCCTCAAGTCTCAGGAAGGAGTCTTTCTGAGGGAAGAATGACTGAGGAAACAGGATAAGGAAGCACCACACCCTAGCTTCTAATTCTACAACAAAACAAAGTATGCAGAATGTAGATGTGATTTGCTATGAAGAGTGAGTTGAGCTTCATGCATGACTCTGAACTCCCAGAGCAATGCACTGTCCATGGACTGTACTTGTCTCAGTGAGCCAAGATGTGTGGCTGGACCATGGTCTGTGAGTATTCTGTGATGGTCTCAAAGTATGAATCTCACTGGATGTTGATCTGGATCTGGATCTCGAGATCTTCACTGGGGGCCTTTGTTGGGGGAATTAATTTACTGATTCATTTATTCATCCAATACATAATTTAGTTTTGTTACACATGTAATGACATCGTGAAATTCTACTCTGTTGGATGAGACTGACTAATGACTTCAACATCACATGAATTAGTAAATGTCAACTGTAACAAGAACAATAAAGGAAAGATTGAAGTCTGATGTAACAATAGAGTCTTAAAGAGCATCTAGGTCAGGTATAGGGAGAGAGCATCAGTGAAGTCTTCTTGTCAAAGTAACCAATGCATCAAGATTATAAATGTGTCCTGTGAAGTATTTTGAGTGTAAGAGAGTGAGAGAAAGTTGGTTTAGCCAGAGATTAGAAAGCAAATAGAAACCAGAATGATCTGAGGGTAGAGGCCCATCAGGGATCCATGGAAAAGATCTTATCATTTTTATCTGGAGAGTAAGAGGAAGCCCAAGAACTGGGTGATCAACAGCATTGGCTTTGCTGAGAAGCACCTGTTGGAGCCAATGATGTGGAGAATGTTGGTAGAGCTGTGAAATCTAGGGTTGGTGGGATGGTGAGTACAGCATCCATAACCCAGGGACAGATAAGCAGGATGGGAAATGTTTAAAATTTATGAGAATGCCTTAAGAATCGGTTTCTCATGCCAGCAGATGTCCATGTGACCAGCAGTAAGTCAAAGAGAGAATATTGTTAAGGAAACAAAAGTGATAAGAGCAAGATTGAACTGTGTAAATAACTAGGAGCCAGAATTCGCAAAATTAAGGGAATCCAGGACTCTTTGTGTATTGCTCATTACCACTTTTTCCCCTCTAAGCATTGATTCTGGATTGTACCCTGAAACAGCCTATCTGTTCACTCTGACCCCACCACCATAAAGCTACACTAGCTGTCAGTATCCTCCACTATGATTAAACCTCAAGTATGCGTTGAGATTGCCAATATGCTGGTTTCTTGGCACTCATATTTCAGTGACATTCTGTGCTTTGCTAAGTTTTTTTTTATTAACCTTCTTTTCTAGGCTGCTATAATTCTTCAGTTTAATATGCTAGTTACACAGTGTTCTCGTAAGTGTTACACACGTATTAGTTCATCTCATAGGAGAAATGCAATCAACATCTTAACATTTATGGTAGAGAAACTAAGGCAGAGAAATGTAGTGGTTTGCCTAAAGTGCAATAGCTAATGAAGTACAGGAGGCAAGACTTGAAGGATTCCATGCTCTTAATTCACTCTGCATTGTCTCTGATTCATCTTTGAGATGTTTATTCCCATTTAATAGAGACCAGATAATAGAGACCTGGAGATTGTAATTGGCTTGTGTCATAATTCAAATTAGTAACAGAAGCAATGTTCTATGAAACCCAGAGCCCACAACTGCTTGTCTAGTGTATTTTCACAGCTTTTGAAAGTTGGACATTGAATATGATACCTCTTTGCTATGAATGGATGGAGGGGACATCACACTTGAACTGTGTCATTGCCCTTCATCTCTGCAGCAAGTTGCTATCGCTGCAGGTTGTAACACTACAACCTCGGATGCCTTGGTTCACTGCCTGCGTCAGAAGACAGAGAATGAGCTCTTGGAGGCAACATGGAAAATGGTAAGCTTGCCCACTCAGGTGATCCTGGGAAATGGGTTTCAGGCTTCACTGCTCGAAAAATTACCTGGCACAATGTCAGCACCTGGATGTCAATGTATAATTTAATTTTCTTTTCTTTTCCATTGTGAACTGTTTCAAATGTCAGAAGTCCAAAAATAATAAGTAAACATATCCAAAGTAAGCGTCATCCTGAATGTTGCATTTGGAGATATTGATCACAAAGAGCTTCTGAAATGTGTCACAGATTATCTTTGCTGGTTTGGAAATACATAAATCATGCAGTGTAATTGCCCATTCTCTAGATTTTCTGAGACTTTGCCTCAGTTATGACTTTAGGTTGCTTGGCCAACCATCCATTCCTTCTTTATCCCTCCTTATATGCATGTGTGCATCCATCTGTTCAACCATCTTGTGATTCATCTATCCATTGATGAACCAATCCAATCCATTGACATCATTCTCTATTCTAATAATGTAATAATCATCTAAATATCATTAAGCCATAAAATATCTTTAATCCATCATACATTTGTCTAAAAGCAATGATCTATACATGTCCTAACTGCTGGTTATCATCCATCTATCCATGTACACATATGATTCACACAAACTCTGTCTATTGAAAACTCCCATCCATCGATCCGTCCATCCATACAAATTTTGTAATGGGGTTGTTATCAGGGATGGTGAGGAAGGCTTCAGTAGGACATAGTCTTTACTCAAAAAAAAAACCTGTTCAATGAGAAATACACTCATACCCACTGGACTGAGTTGGGAGTAGAAATTGGAGGGCAAGGGACACATCAACTATGGCCAGCTGGGCAGCTTCCAAGGGAAAGCAACATTTGAAGATTGTTGTTAAGCAAGACAAAGACCCAGCAAACACACAAAATCCAGGCCAATGGAAACCACTGTTAGTAAGGTCTAGCCCTGGGCTCTGCCTGTCCATATGAAGGTTGTAGCAGATATAATTGCTGTCAGATAAAGATACTATTAACTGGGCTCCAATGAGGCGACTACAATTTATTTCAATGCCTGGAAACATTCAACTGCTTTGACTGTTCTACGTATGGCACAAGAGTATCCCCTTCTGGAAGTGAAGATAAAGCAATAAGCAATTTCTCTAGAGCTCCAGTGTCCCTTGTGCTTGCTCCTAATGACTGTCCTTCACTTACTGATGCCTACCCATCTCTTGACTCTCACATTTGTCCAGTAAAGCCTTTGTCAAAGGAGTCTGCCAAGCAATGAGAAGCAATAGACTCTCAAGTGTCCAGCTCACATCATCAACTTTCCCCCACGTAGCCTTCTTACCACATCTTCTATCATTGTTTTTGCAGAAATTTTTCACTCTCAATTTACTTGGAGACCCCAAACAGGTAAGCACCTGCTCCACAAGGCCAGCACTGTGTCTTTCTTGCAGGTAAGATCATTCTTTGCCAACTTCCCATGGCTCTCCTTTCTGCCTGCATAGCCTATCTGGGGCAGCAGCTACTGCCTCCAATTCCCATTCTCTATTGTCAACCTGGTTAAACTGAATTGGGGCTTTGTATGTCCTTCTTGATCGGGATCTCTTTACAGAACTTATGTAAATAGCCAGAATGGAGTCATTATTTATTGGTCTTTGCAGAACAGAGACAAGTTTGAGAAACCATAAGGTTCCAATCACTAGAGTTGTCTGCTTCCATGTACTACCCAGATATGGAAATATGGCCCACAGGGGCCATTGAGTATAAGGATGGTGCTTACATGAGGCCTCTGCCCTAACACTACCAATAAATGACATCTCACCTTCTCTAGCCCCTTCTCAGGACCAGGTACTATGCTGAACATTCACAAATTATTGAGTCCTTTAATCTCCCCAACTATTGTATTAGTCCATTTTCATCACTGTAAGGAAATCCTCAAGTCTTGCAATTTTATGAAGAATTGGAGTTTAATCAGCTCCCAGTCTTAGACATTTAGAGGTATGTCACTGTCATCAGCTCGGCTCTGGTGAGACCTGAGGAGGGCACTGCAGTGACAGGAATCATGTTGATGACAAGAAGCCTGAGATCAACTCAGAGCTTAGGCTTGCTCTTCTAACTCCCTCAAGAGAGGATTAACTCAGGGTGCAATAACAGCTGCCCTAGCCCCTTCCAAATTCAGCCCCTATAATGACCTCAAACTTCCTACAAGATGACACTGCCATCTCCTAACATCACCTCACCAAGGGCCAAGCCACCACCTCACAAATCCTTGGGTGATGTACTCCAAACAATATCCAAATTGAAAAGTTACCCACCCTGCAGATGAGGAAATGGAAGAGTAAGCAGAAAGCTACTTTCTGAAAGGAGGAGCTACTCAATAACAAAAGTAGGCTTCATACATAGGTAGTCTAACTCCAAAATGCGTGTTCATAACAACTTAACTCTTAGAGCCGCCTATGGACCATAGACCATGCTTAGCACCAATTGCCTGGATGATGATGACTTTTGAGTCAGCCCAGAGTCAATCTGTGACCCTGGAAGTACTTTTCATCAAGGGTAAAATCTAAAATGAAGATAATTTTGTGGGTCCATTTCTGATTCTTGTGTTTACCACATCCTGTCAAATGGGGAATCAAGTTTCAGTGTAGGTACCTTGAATATTAAGGAGCTAGCTATGCACTTCTTTGGAACAAACCCTCTCTCACCAGAAACCCCTGTTGGAGACAGATAAGATTAGTCCTCATTAATTATGGACTCTGTGCTTGCTGATTACTCATTCAAATGTATTTATTATCTTGAATGAAACGAGTAGTTCTGAGGAGGCAACTCACAGGCATGGACAGAGCAGACGTTGGAGTCATGAGACGCGCATGTTCCCATGTGAGCTCAGGTGAAGTGATGCTTTACCTTTTGCCCATATTCCATGCTGAGAAGTGCCCTCTTTGTGGGCTATTTAGGACCACATTTTTTGTATTTTTGTCCAGTTCTTAAACTGTTTTACCTGTTTAATGTGGCTCCCATGTGACATGCTCAAGTGCTGTCTAGTGTTCCTATGCCCAGGTAAATGGTGATGGGGTCCTACAGAGCATTTGGCTGGAGTCACAGCATGTTGGCTGTGAGTGCAGTGTCAAGCAGCTGACAGCACAGGACATCCAAAAAGGGAAAAAAGGAAAAGGAGACTTGTCAATATGTGCGTTAGATCTTTATACATTCTGCTAGAGTGGCATCTTCAATGTGTAATGGAAGGGGAAAGACCATAATTTATGGATTCATGAGATGGTAGGAATATCTAAAAATCTTAGCGGGTGGTGTTGTGAGATTGAAAGCCAATGGAATGCACAGGCACATTGCCCAGGGTCTTGAAAATGACACTCTGGCTGGTGTTGGACTCTTTATCAGAACTTTGTATTATGTATGGTGTTTAAAGATAGACCTACACATGCAGGTTGATAAAATGTGAAAAGAGGCTATCAGCAGCCAAAAGCTGTGTTTTCCCTTGGGGTAAGGCCTGTGTTTATGGACTCCGTGTCCCTACCACTGCTATGAGACAGAAACACCAGGAAGAATGAGATTCGGTGATAGGTAAAAAGGAAGATAGAATTCTATATATGCTATCTATGTGAGTGGAGGTTCGCATCCTCTCCTCCACCTGTGTTGCTGTCTTCCTTCTGCTAGCAATGGTTGAAGTTCTGCCTCCTGGAGTCACACAGACGCATCCCTTTAATTAGGACTCTAAACTTGAACACTGTTCATGGTCCCTAAGTCTATATCACTAGCCTTGTCCTCAAATCGCAGAGAGGATACTGTGAAAGTTACATGAGGTAGCGATCACAAATCTAATATCCTTTCTGCCTTAGAGCTTCCCGTTCCTGCCCACTGTGATTGATGGAGTGCTACTGCCCAAGGCACCTGAAGAGATTTTGGCAGAGAAGAAATTCAACAAGGTCCCTTACATTGTGGGAATCAACAAGCAAGAGTTTGGCTGGTATATTCCAACGGTGAGAATGTGTAAGCCTTTTAGATAGACCCATCTAAGCTCTTGTCCCCAGAGTTCTTCTTTCTCAAAGAAACTGTCCCTAACAACGTGAATTGACACTGTCATAGAAAGCTTCTCTGGGATGGATCAGCAATCACACTGGATGGCTTAGCCCTGCAAACACTTCTCACCCAAACACTCTGGTCATTCTTCATTAAAGATCCTGACTTAGTAAGGCTGCAAAGCCTAGGAGAAAAATGACTGTCCGAAAAAAAAAAAAAAAAACAAAACACCAAGAATGTTTAGGTTTATGAAAAGGAACTGGGAGTTAAGGAGAGGCAAGCCTGTGACCAAACAGATTATTATGTAGTCTGCCAAGCATGAGTGCCTGTAAACCTCTACAAAACTCATGCCTCTCCATATTTATCACCTCTGTGGGAGAACTCAGAGAAAGCTGCCACCTCCTCAATTAAAACTGATTTCTAGAAGTGAAGAGTGCCTTCCCTGACAAGCATAAGCAAAGTTATACAGGAGCTGAAGCACTGAGCTGATTTTGTGGTGTGCTATTGTTATAATTGGGATAAAAATGAAGCATTGGCTGAACTCAAATCTAGAAACCAGATGCTGGAGGCATTTAAATCTGCGGAGTGCAAAGGGAAGGAACTCGTGGATGTGTATGAAGGGGATGGTCCTTGAGCATGTATGTGTTCATGTAAGTCTTCGGAGAAGCAAACTTCTCTCACAGTGATTATGAGAAGCACTGGCATAAGTTTAATTAAGGAACCAGCTGAGTCAGACCATTATCCTCTCACAAAGACTAGGGAGAGCACCCATGGTTAGCTTCATGTGGTCATGTGTTCCAGAGTCTTCAAAAAGGTTAAGTAAAAATGTCCTCTCATGTCCTGCAGGAAACAGTTTGGATGATAGACGAACATCTCAAAAGATAGGAAATGGGTGTAAGTGAAAACTCTTTGAAGTAAGAGAGGATTAGAAGAAATAATTTCTCCTGGCTGAATTGAGCTTTCTCAAGCAGGCATTTTAAGGGAGACTAGGGTCATCCTACAGCCATAACCGTTAGCATCTAGAAGCTAAGTTAGAGTTGGGTCAAGCCTTTGCACATATAAGTTTGGACATTGGTTCTACTCCAGAAAGACACCCTTAAAGGATTGAAACTATCATGGCAGGATTTGGCGTTTTCTCAGCCGTCTGGGACGGTGGGGTCTATGCACTCTGTCCCGGAGTCCTTAACTTCAATACTGAATATCCTACACCTTCCCTCTGTGCCCAGCTGACCACTGTGCATGTTCTTGTCCGATAAATAGGCAAGTCTATATTTATATAACAAAGCTCCCCAATAGCTTCTGCTGGACATTTTTTTTATCCCCATTGTACTGGTTCTGTCCAATTCATCAAAGATACACATCCATAAGGAAGATCTAAGAGAATCTTCACTCTACATTGGCTTGGTGCACTAGTCAATGTATTTTTTTCTCTGTTAATTCCTGTTGATTCACAAATGCTTAATCTCACCTCCCCCTTTTTTTAAAAACAGGCTATGGGATATCCATTCTCTGAAGGAACGCTGGACCAGGAGACGGCCACAGAAATCTTGTGGAAATCTTACCCTGTTGTTGTAAGAGTCCAGGGAATCATAGGAATTGCTTGAGACCCAAGAAAAGGCTAGAAGTTTCCCCAAATTATGGCCTAATTAAATGGAGTAAGAAAGATGGGGACCCAGGTTTCTGTGCCCATTTTCTACTATTCCCATGCTTCCATATCCTGTGGTGGGGGATTCTTCCGGGGATCAAGAGACTCACCAATGACCCAAGCATTCCTCACTGACTAGGGCAGCCATCTCACTCATCCATGGAAGGGGATTCATTTCTTTATCCTTTTCAGAACATCTCTAAGGAACTGACTTCTGTGGCCACTGAGAAGTACTTAGGAGAGACAAAGTGCCATGCCAGAAAGTTAGACAAGTTCCTGGCCTTGGTTTCAGATGTGCTGTTTGGTGTCCCATCTGTGATCGTGGCTCGTCGCCACAGAGGTAAGTGCTGGGGGTTGGAAAGGAGAGGGACAGTGACACTATTGACTTCAGTCTCTGTGTTCTCTAACCTCAAGTACAGGCACTTGTTGAGCGGGTTGAAGGCAAAGCCTCATGACTGATTCCCTTTCCAGCAGAAGACTCTTAAAAAGAATCCAAATGCAAGTGGTGTGTCTGAGACATCCCAGAAAACAGCAGCAGGGAGACATGGAAGAAACAGAAGCCAATCAGAGATGCAATGCCAAGCAAGTGACAACTGTGGGCAGCTGGAACTGAGGAGCTCTGGGGAATGAGCAAAAGGCACACCTGAGGGCTTTTTCATCAGAATGGCAAAAGAGCAGGAGTAGTTATCAACTGACCCCCAAGTGTCACTGACTGAAGCTGTTCCAGGAAGTTGACAAGTTGACTCTCTGCTTTTCTTTTTTTTTTTTTTTTACCTGCACACATGTAGACAGAACAGGCTCTAGTGACCTAAGAAATTCCTGAAGCAAGTAGCTATAGGTTCTGGAAGCAGATCTCAGGCTGGCATGCCCAGAAATAGGGGATACAAGTGAGGCACCCACAGGATCCATTGCAGAAGTTCCTTATCAGAAGTGATGATGATACTAGTGTGTGCAAAGCGAACACCAAATGATGAGTCTGCAAAGATATACTAGTCAGAGTATGGAAGATGATATAGAGGAGGACATGGATACATAGAACAGAGATACTAATGAAGGAATATTCCAAGATTATTTTTAGAATATGTGTTTACTTGAAAGATTTATAGACAGAAAAGAGTTGGATGTAGGTCTTCCAGCTGCTAGTTTACTTCCCAATTCACCTCAGCAATCAAGGGTGAGCCAGACCCAAGCCAGGAGCCAGAAGCTTTATCCAGGTCTACCACACGTGCTGTTGAGGGTCCAAGTACTTGGCCCACCATCCAATACTTTCCTTGGTGCATTAGCTGGGAGATGGATCAGAGGAGGAGGAGCTGAATCTTGGCCCAGATCATATGGAATGCTGGTATTGCATGTGGTTGCTTAACCTCATGAGCCACAACAGTAGTCCCTCCTAGGAGTACTGATTCATGAGTCTGTGGAGATTGAGAAATCCCATGAAAGCACTCCACAGGTTGGAGACTCCTGGATTCCACTGACATGGTTCAGTCCAACGTCCAGAGGTCTCAGAACTAAGGAGGCCAATGATGTAACTGGAATTCTGAAGCCAAAAACTTCAAACTACTGGGGGCTACTGGTATAAATGCTGAATTCAATTGGCCAGGGATCCTGGAGTTTTGATGTCCAAGGGCATGAGAAGAGAGTCCTGGCTCTCGGAGAAAAAATGGAAAGTACCTGTTATTTGCCTTTTTGCACTTTTTGATTGGTTTCTGCCATGTTGACAGCCAGTCTTCTTCCACTCAATCCATTTACTCCCAGGCTGATTTCCTTTGGGAATATCCTCACAGACGGTGCAGAACTAGGGTACCACCAGCTCTTAGGAATTCCTTCATCTGGTTGAGTTGACAGATACAGTCATCACAGGTTTCTACGGTCACAGCCAGCTGAAACTTAGTTTGTTAAAAAGAAGGAGGGATGATGGAGGAGTGAGTGCCAAACCTGGGATTCTGCAGGACAAAAAAGGTGCAGAGGAGGGAGTAGTGAGATGTGGGGTGAAACGGGGAGGTGTTTGTGTCTGTTTCTGAGTTTGATTTTTAGTTTCCAGAATACAAATTTCATCAGGCTTTTTTTTTCATGTTCTTTGAGTAATGAAATTATGAACGTTCTTCCTTTTTTTTTTTTTTTTTTTTTTGCTGCATTTCAAGTTTATATAAACTTTCACCACCAGCCTGATGGGTGCTGACTCTTCCCTCTTCCAATGTCTCCTCTGTGAGCATCACAAACGATGCCAAGTTCTGAGTCATCCTGCTGGGGTGGTCCATGAATTATTCCTGAAGGAGCAGGGCATGCTGGCTCTGAGGATCCCAACAACTGCGACAGCTGATATCTTTGGACATGGACAGGAAGGCTTTGGTGGTGTGAGAGGAAAACACAGACTAAAGGAAGAGAGATCAGGAGAGACAAGCTCAGCTCCTCCTGACCTCTCTCTTTTCTGCCACCATCTTATAGCCTGAATGTCATAACTTTCTCCTGGGCCAGAAGGATGTAAAACATGTGAGGTGACAGAAATTGGAAAAGCCTAATCCTGTGATTTCCTGAGATATGGGACAAATTGCTTCTTCTCTGCCTGAGTTTGTAGTTACAGATCTGGTCCTTCACTTTAAAAAATGAGCATTGCTTCCCTTCTCTCAGAATGCGTGAGAAAAACTCTGAAAATGTTCAGCAACAGCTCAAAAAAGAAACCTATTATGTTGTGGTCATTCTCAAAATGAATACAATGAAGTACACTCATGTGTAAATAGTATGAATATAGTTTCTGGTTTATGCATTCATGCTAGTGAAAGAGGTTTATGAGAATTCACTTAGTGTCCCTTTAATATTAGTTATTTTAGATGGAGTGAACTGGGGCTTCAATACTAATTCATTCAATATTCATTCATTTATTCAAACAATATCAGGTTCAAATCCCAGGACCTCCACAACCAGCTAGGCTGTCCATAGCTTCCCTTAAGCAGCCTTTGTCTTCCTAGAGCCACATCTTGATGTCACTGCCCTGTTCTTACAACCAGAGGGTTCCTGAGATGACACGGATGTTGATAACGTCCAGGTGTATGTCTGCTAGCATGAACTGTGCGTGAGTCTGTGTCTTTCAGATGCAGGGGCCCCCACCTACATGTATGAGTTTCAGTATCGTCCAAGCTTCTCATCGATCATGAAGCCCAAGACAGTGGTAGCAGACCATGGCGACGAGGTTTACTCTGTTTTGGGAACTCCATTCTTGAAAGGTAAATCTCTTTGATACCTATGAAGGTGGCGTTAGGAAATCTGCGTCACAGCCTTGATGTGGTAGCCTTCAACACGCTTTTCCTTCTTCCTCATCTAACCAAGGAAGGAGAATAAGTGTTCATTTGCCCTCAGCCATAGCCAACCTCAGAATCATGCCTGCTCTAGGGTGAGACCACCTCCACTGTGTCCCGCTTAGGAAAAGATCAAATGCGAGTGAAGGGATGGCGAGAATTAGGATAAATTTTTGCATCACATCCAATGTGTATCTGTCTTTCTGTCTATAATATATCCCTTTCTCTCTCTGTCCCTTCCTCCCTTGCTCCCTACCTCCCGCCCTCCCTCCCTCTTCCATTAATTCATTCAGTCCATATATGGCTCAAATTCCAGTTTTATCTCAATCTGTTATACAGTCTTCATCTATCTATCTATCTATCTATCTATCTATCTATCTATCTATCTATCTATCTATCATCATCTAATCAGCTCCTTTTACATCTATTTCAAGCTCAAATTTAATCTAGAATATATTTAATTGCTAACTAGTCAAAAGCAAACTTCTCCCAAATGCCTTTAAAACCTCAACTTTCACAATTACGCTGTGACTCTCTTTTTTTAAGATTTATTTTATTTTTATTGCAAAGTCAGATATACAGAGAGGAAGAGAGATAGAGAAGATCTTCCATCTGCTGATTCACTCCCCCAAGCAGCTGCAGTGGCTGGAGCTGAACCAATCTGAAGCCAGGAGCCAGGAACTTCATCCGGGTCTCCCACATGGGTGCAGGGTACCAAGGTTTTGGGCCATCCTCGACTGCTTTCCCAGGCCACAAGCAGGGAGCTGATGGGAAATGGGACTGCCAGGATTAGAACCGGTGCCCATAAAGGATCCCAGTGAGTATAAGGAAAGGACTTTAGCCACTAGGCTACTGCACTGGGCTCAGCCCACCAACGTCTCTAAGCATCTCCCAAGAGACAGACTATTCAGATGGCTATAGCTCTGCTATTTTTCAAACTGAAAGTATGAGTGGGTGAAGTAGATGGAGAAAAATCCCAAGGAAAAGCAATGCTGGAATGTGAGTTACTGTAGAGCAGGGGTGGAAATGACCAGCTTTTGGGCCATATAATATGAAATCATTTGGTGTGGTCTTACCAATGCAGCTGCAGGTAAGACTGGAAATTCAATAAATTGAAAGCAGCCTTTTTGTGAGGCCCACAGTGTGGGTATAAACATCTGAATGGCCCTGCGTGGCAAAAACTTTGCCCATCTGTGCTATGGAGGAAATAATAAGGTTTGACATTGAAATCCTGGACAAGTGCATACAGAAGACCAAGGCAGTTGTATGAGTGCATGTCCATTAGTAAGTGTTAGGTCACTCTAAGACCAATTATTGAGAACCTTAGCAACATAAAGGTGTTGCTCAATAGGTGTGGAGTAAGAGCCAAGACCCTATTTCTACAAGCTCCCTAGTGATGCTAATGCTGATACTGCTGCCTCCTAGATCATACATTCAGTAACAAAGAATTTTCTTCTCTGCCCCAATAGAAGGTGCTTCAGAAGAGGAGATCCAACTCAGCAAAATGGTGATGAAGTTCTGGGCCAACTTTGCTCGGAATGGGTGAGGCTGATGGCAAAGACGGAGCAGGGTTGGATGGCTGGGAACATAAACCTAGTGTGAAAGGGTAGCTTCTGAGATTTGAGGACCAAATTCCCAACTCTACTTCAAGAAATTAACCTCCAAAATGATAGCGTTTACTCTACAAGAGGAAGGGCACCTCATAACTTGATATGAGAGCAAGGGGACCCCTGCATGCTTCAAAGGGGTGTGGTGTTGCACATCAGCCTTGAATAATTTCTCTTTGATTTTGTTTCAGGAATCCCAATGGGGACAGGCTGCCCCATTGGCCAGAATATGACCAGAAGGAAGGGTATCTGCAAATTGGTGCCATCACCCAGGCAGCCCAGAAACTCAAAGACAAGGAAGTAACTTTCTGGACTGAGCTTCTGGCCCAGCAGGTGCAGGAGAAGTTACCCTAGACTGAACATACTGAGTGGTGAATGGGAGGCCAAGCCAGACTCATGAATCTAAAGGAATCCAGACTGTGACATTGTACAGCAGTTTGCGGAGCAACATCTTGAGGACTTGTGAGAGGCAGAGGCCAGGAAAAATTGTACTTGTGACATCAAGGGAGGGAATAAATGTTCTCTCGGTGACCATATCATTGTCTTTGTCTTGGTGTTTGGTCCATCATCCATAGAGAATGATGATAAAGAAAGAGCAGCCAACAGTAGGCAAGTGACTTTGCTGGGGCTGACTTGATCACTTGGCCTGCAGAGTGCAAGCACAAGGCTCAGGGAATTAATGGGGAGACTCTCAAACTAAACTAGGCTCTTAGTTACTGAGAATTTGCAACAGCAGGATCTGGGACATTGTACTCCTTGCCTTCCGAATAGAAGACATCCTACTCCTCAGTTCAGAGCTGCCTGTGGAGATGAACACTGTTAGGTTGAGAAAGAGAAATGGAAAAGAAAGGGGCTGTGGTGATACTATAGCAAAATGATGTAACCTTTAGTGACCCTTGCACCTGTCTGATTATCTTCCTCAACACATGAAGTTAGCATCCAAGTTAGTATCCAAGGTCACCCTAACCTCAGAATCAGGCAGGTACTTCCTCAGAGTAAGCCCCTAGAGTGTTGCTCTGAATATGTCTCTTTCAGAATCTGAGGGGAACCTTCTGTCTTGCACAGGAATGGAAGAAGCTCTGATAAGTGAGAATTCCATTTTAATAGCAATAAGCAGTTAATTATTCCCCAAATCATAACTTGTTCTATATCAGTCAAAAATAAGAAATTGTAAGTTATGCAATCACCCCGAAATCTAAGGAAAATGAGGCGCTTTGGAAAAGTGAGGTGGGAGCATTGTCTGAACTTCCAACTGAAGTGGAAGAGATTGCCATCATGCATGTGAATAGACTTACTCTAACATGTTCAGTCAAGCGCTATGGTTCCTGTGTGGGCTGGAACGAAAGCTTAAAAGCCCTAAAGACTCTGGAACCAGGGGTGAGGCTGCACCCATCACAAACTTCTCTGCAATCGATCGTGAGAGATACTGAGTTAACAATTATAAGAGTGGAGAAAGTCTGCCTCTAAGGGTGTAGGGCATGAATCTCAGACCCTTTCTCTGAGGGAGAAAGAAACGTAATCCCTGGAGAAAAAAAATTACACACATTGCTCATCTCAGGGCACCGCTACAGACCAATTAAAGTTAGGGACTTGCCAGGGATCCAAATCATTGCACATATTTTCCTGTGGAGGGAGGGACAGGGTCACAGAAATGTCCCCATACCTGGACATCACACGCACAGCAGAAACTGGTCACTGAGCAGAGAGAGAAGCCAGCGCTGCTGTCAGAGGTGGGAGCCCTGAGCACTCTGGGAGTGCTCCTGGATGAGGGCCTGTAGTCAGGGGCTTGTGGAGACTGCCTGGAGTCCATGGCTCTCCCACGGCAGCAGTGCTGGGTGAGGCGATGGGAATCGGATGGGGAACAGCAGGTGGCATTGGGCAGGTCTCCAGCACTAGGCTTTGGAAGAAGCTGGAGGTGATTTTTTGCAAGGCTGTCAGATTGGACTCAACTTGAAAAGGCCCACAAGTTGCTGTGAACTAGTAGGGTTTAAAAGAGGCTCGTGGGGTTGCAGGTGAGCGAGATGCAGGGGTACTTGGCCCCAGAACACCTGCCCTGGCCTGGCACTCCTCACAGGGGCTGTGGGGAGAACACAGGACACATCTCCAGCGGAATGTGATAGTTGAGGGAGTGAGGCCCTGCTGACCTGGGGTGCAGGCACTGTGACACAGCAGGCAAAACCCCATGATGTCAGCACTCCTGAGAAGCCTGTGTCCTGTTTGCTGGCAGGTACAAGGTCTTTGAGTTTGGTAAAGGAGCTACAGCAAGGGATGGACAGGTCATCCATGGTTTGTTGGTTACTCTGAGAGGATCTGGCATGGCAACAACAAGCTTTGCCCAGTCCCATTGGACTGAATCCATTTGCCCTGGCCGTCATCATCCATGTATCCAAGCAGATCCCATACCCCCAACATGATCCTCTGCCCCTGTAGAACTCCTGAGCGAGGACCAGCTCTATGCCACCCCATGCCCTGGGATGCAGCCAGCCCCTGCCCAAACCCCTTCGTGTCCAAGCCCTGGGTTCTTAATACAAGGGGTTTCTTTCTCCATGGCAGATGGGACAAATAGTGGATGCTCTGCCTGCTCTACTGGGCTAATCCACGGCCTCTTGTTGGGATGATCTCTTCAGGCATGGCTACAGTAGCGCTTCTTGCCAATAAGAGGGACAGAACTGGGTAACCCGTGGTGAGTCTAGACTGCTCAACCACCTTGCTTTCATAAACTGTGGCTGTCTCTGCAAACCTTTTTTCTCCTTAACCCCCTGCTCCCTGTTAGCTCCAGCCCAAGAGAGGTGGCAGCAGGGACCAGGAAGAATGGAGATGCTCCTCGGTGCTGGGGAGAATATCCTGACAGTGCTGAGTGTTCTCAGGCTGTGCAGCTCCATGCCATGGTGGTTTTCAAGACACCCAGCACCAGCCTTGTTCCCTGATGGGAAACATCCTGTACCCACACCTGCTGCCACCATCTTCACGGGTCAGACAGGAATAGGAGCTCAAGGCACAGCAGCCTCTCTCAGACCTCAGAGGACAGGCACTCAGTTCCTACCAGCCCCCAAGTGTAAACATCCAAGTTTAGTGACTCCAGCCTTCTGCTGGAGTCTGCATGCATCCTCAGGCCTCATGGGGCATGAAGCTGCAGGAGAACAGGGGTAGGAGGTGAAGAGGCTCTGAGGACTCTGCTTACATGAGGAGACTGAGGTTTCTCAGGGAATCAGCTCCAGCCCCAACTTGCTGTGTGGCCAGGGGAAGTCTGAGAAACACTTTTCTGTCCATGACCAATGGCCTGTCCCCAGGCCTTCTGCTCAGCAGCATGCAGCCCACCCAGACTTTTGTCCAGCCACAACCTGTTGCTGCTTCCAGAAATCTACCCCCCTGTGTGGGCTGTTCTTGTTCTGTTTCCAACTTTCAGTTTCCAACCAGCAGGTGCTAGACTAGAAGACGTTCCTTTTCCCATCAAATGACCAAGTAGGGAACAATATGAGTGCACCAGAACTTTGAGAATTTCTTGTGCATGGTTTTTATGACAAGAACCAGGAACGGATGAGAAAAGGCAGCCTTCGTGTCCGAAGGTGCTCAGGCGTTCACTGAGCACAGGAGCAAGGCAGTCCCCTCCCTGTGAGCCACTACCACACATCCTGGAGATGCCAAAGAGTTCCCTGCCCACCATGTGGTTATAGGTAACATGACTGTGCCCATCCACCAGCCAATGCCTGCCTTTCTGAGTGAAGTTTCACACAAATGGTGGCTTTTAATATTTTATGCATTTCACTGTAATACTGTAACATTTATTGACTTGTGTTTCTGTAAATTTGTCACTTATTCAGTGCTGTGTATGCCCTGCACAATCTTGTGTACCCCATTTGTCCTGCAATTTCCTTTATGCCCTTGTTGCATAGTCCAGTGGATTGGAGAAGCACAGCAAAATGCATGAGCGTCCACTGAGCAGTTAAACCATTTGGGCCTTTCTGAAGTCCTGGGTTTTATTTGTCCATGAGACAAATGAAATAAAGTGCTAATTGCTCATGGAGATTGTCATTATCCAAAGGTTGTGTTTGCAGTAGAGTGTAAAACTACTGAGTAGCTGACATACTGAGTCCAGAAAGTGAGCCCTGCTTTTTCTCCCTAACACCCAGCCTGAATTGTGTGCAGAGCAAGGGGGCTCAGGGACAAGCTGCCAACTCTTCCCAACCCAGAGACTTGCTCAGAGTTAGGCAGCCCCTAGAGTAAGCTGCACTTGAAAGTCTGAGCTGGGAATGGATGAGTCACAATGTGTGCTTTTGGCACACACCATGCAAAGGTGCTTCCGACAAACATTTGATTTAGAATGGGGAAGGGGGAAGGCAGGAGGGGGGGAAGCCCATCCTATTCCAGGCTATGATGCTGCCAGGTTCAAAGCCCAGTCACTCCCAGATCTGGGGATTCTTTGCAACCTTGTGGATCATTGGCCTGAAGCCCAGAAATCTTCCTCCCTCCAGCTGGTTTTCCTGGTGGGAGGGAATGGAAGCTCTGAGGCACACAGGGAGAGGCCCTGCTGAAAGGTAGCAGCAAGGAGTAAGTGCAGCGTGAGAAAAGGCCAGCAGAGGGCGCGTTGTCAGCCACAGGAGTTACTGGTGGTGTGGGCTTCAGCAGCTGTCATTTGGTCTGTGGTGACGCTGCTTCACAGCCAGGCACCAGCCGGTCTCTACAGGAGTCCTTGGACCACACCACTGTCAGTTGTCCATCTGTCCTGTCTCCTCGTGCCAGGAGGGACCTCCCTTCCATCTATTCCACTCTAGGATTTTCTATCCGTCCCCTGGAGATATGGTCCTTCCTTTGTTTTTCTGGAATCTGTCTGTGGCAGAGTTCAGTTCAGCCTCTCCCTGTCCAGGCTGCTTGGATGCTTGCTGCAGGACATTCATGCTGGACACTGTCTCCTTGGGTTTCTATGGAAAGAACAACCTAGAAAGACCTTTATTTCTGGGGAGAGGGCAGTGGAGAAGGGGAGGTCTAGAGTCCACCAGCCACAGAGGGCCTCAGCAGCTCTTCTGTTCTCCCCCTCTCTTCCTGCTCCCTCACTCTACCTTTCAAATTATATATATATATTAATATGTTATTATATATATATATATATACATAAAAGCCTATATGTATATACGCTTTTTAAGAAGTTATGGTTCCATCAGTTGCCAGGAGCTTGAACTCCTTTACCATAATGCGGTTGGTGAAAGGGGGTCCCTGGAGCCCCACTTCCCAGAGTACCTGCCAGGCTGGTGATTGCTCCTCCCTCAGTGCAGTGAAAGCTGGGTACACTGCTGCCTCCCACTGCCCTTCAGTGGTGGCCTCAGCGAAGGACAATGCCCTCCGGGTTGGGCTGTTCTTCACATTCCTACCTGGAGCAGGGGGGCACCGTGCCCACCTCCACATACCATCAGTGGGGCATGTTCACCTTGCTACAAGTTCATGCTGGCCATGTGGATAAATTATCATCATGGACACTATTGTGAAT